CAAAAAAAAAATCAAAAAAAAAAAAAGAAAACAACCACCCAACTCTGAAAAAAAAATAAAAATCAAAAGAAACAATCGCAAGAAATGAAATTAAAAATGCGAACAACAAATAAAGATAAAAAATCACAGACCTGAGAAAAATGGCCACGAAACGTCGCGCACACGACGTGCATCACTCGTAACTGAGAATGTACATGAAAAATGTAATGTACATGAGAAGTCGTGAACAGCGCAAAGTACCTGTCACTGAAATCACACATGGAAAATGTAACATAATACAATGTATCCTAGTATAATCCTACTGCTAAAAACACTCGTACCAGATGTTGAAAAAAATACAAGAAACAGTAGTCTACAAGTCGTGTCGTAGCTGCCGAGATACTGTACTGTACTCAGTTTGCTGCAACCAACGCTAATCTACGAATACCCTACTGGTACCAAAATCATACACACCAAAAACGAAGGAAACAACAACTACAGCACGCACACTACCACAAACTCACTGAGTGTCTAACTATAGGAAGACAAGAGGACACGACCAGAAAAAACAAGACCTCACAACAAGATGAAGTACGGTGCGAGTAGGGGAAAAAGGAAATGCTGGCCTCACGGTCCGTCGGTCAACGACCCTTCTTCCCCTTCCCGCTCCCTCTCCTCGCACCCCCTCGAGTGCCAGATGCCGACCTCCTCCTCCCTCGTGCGGACGAAGAAGTCTGCGCAGCGGACCATCTAGATGCACGCGTCGGCGGGGGAGGTGGGGGGCCAGGGGGCCCATCGTCGCCGTAGTCGTTGTCATCGCCGGAACCGCTCTCGCTCTCCTCCTCACCCTCCTCCTCGCCCTCCTAGTGCTTGTCCTCCTCCCGCACTGCCGCATCCGTCTCAGGATCATCCTCCTCGATGGTGACAGACCTCCTCCCTTCCTCAACAAAACAACCCTCGCACTAGCCTCAGCAACTGTCTGCTCACGGCAGGATCCAGGAAGCATCCCCAACCCCTCCGCCCCCGAACTCTCTCCAAGCGCATCGCCTCCCTCTGCAGCCACAGGGCGTGGACGAGGAGGCACTCCACGCTTGCGCAGAGTCTGCTCCTCCACAACACGCGTCGCTGTTCTCAGAGCGTGCTCCAAGGTGTCGGCGGACACTCCTCAACCACGACCTCGCTGAGGCTCGCAACTTGATGCTGGCACCCCCCTCGCTGCGGTCGTCCTGGCACCAACTCCTCCCAAGCCCGACTGAAGGCGTGAAGTGTGCTCCGTGACACGGCGGGTAGAATCCAAATCTATGTCTGTGCTCCCGAATATGGACGTGTCACACACGTCCCGCAGAGCTGCTGTCGTGTCACGAATCCTCGATCTCCCGGGCGTTTGTGGGGATCGAGAGCCTCTGCCTGTGGGCGATGATGATGGATCACCTACAGGTGGTCTAGGAGGAGGGGGTGGCATGTTTCTTTCATGTGGCGTTGTCTCCTGCACGCTACCCGAAACCCCTGGGACATCTCTCGCAGTACGTCCTCCGGTGGAGGTAGACCCAGACCACACGGGCGATGCAGGACCCCATGGAACCGAAGGGATCGCCTGCCATGCTGGATGCTCGAGCCTCCGGTCGAAGATCCGTCGGTGCAATAGAGTAACATCACGCACCGCATCTCTCGCCAACCTGTTACGCTTCTTCGTGTGGATGCCCTCGTGGACTGCCCAGTTCCTCTCCCCTCGAGAGGCGCAAGACCACATGTGCATCACACGAAGAGCGCACCGCTGCAACTCAAGGGCGAGAGCCCCGTACTGGGACCACCAAGACGCGCACTCGATCGTCTCGGTGTCACCGCTACACGGGCGCCCACAAGCACGCCCCTCCGCCCCGCCCCAATCACCAAACCTGCCCTGCTGCATGTGGAAGTCCTCGAACTGCAGGCAGGCCCGGAGGTACTCCGCACCCTCCAAATCGAAACCCGTCTGCGTCAGAATGTACCTCTTGGCTTGTCTCACAAGCCAAGCATGGTACTCCTGCACCTCGCCGGAAAAATATCGAACATGTCGCCTGCGGGGGTTCAGTAAGAACCCAGCGCAGTGGGCCGGCTCTAGCATGTGCCGTGAGCGTGCCTGCACACGCCTGGTGATCCGGTCTGCGATCAAGGACCCCAAAGGAGCGCATGCCTTCTTCACCCGCTGCACAAGATCCTGTGCCCACTCGAGCACGAGCGACATGAACTGCCCTCCACGATCCATCCGTCGGAGCAACTCCATGATATGGACGATGGTGGCCACCCTCTGCCACCAAGGATCCCATCTGATCTGTCAGCGCACCCAACGCGCCATGTAACAAACATCGGCAAACCATGGGATGAAGGCAAAAACTTGCGCGTCATCCCCTCGCATCATGTCCTGCAAAGTGTCCAGCAGGGCCATGAGCCTCTCCAACATGGAGTACACAGACGCAACCGCGTCTCGCATGAAAGAACAAGACCGAGGTTGGGGCTGCGCTTCCTAAGAAAATAAAGGGCTTCCTGGTGGGTTTTGAAAAACACCACCAGCACACGAGCGCGTGTGATAGTATCAACAAACGCGTCGCAATACGTCCCCATGTCTGACAACAATTTGTTGCAGACATGGACCGAGCATGGGAGCCAAGTGATCCTCCTAAATGTTGCAGGGATGGTCTCTGAGGTCAGAGCCCTGGCAGCCCCAACTTACGCTGACGCGGAGTCAGTACATATCGCATTGACCCGTTGCGGCCCGCCGAACCTGAACTTGTGGAAAATGGTTACCCATCTCCGAAGGACGTGCACAGCATCGTCCGTCTCCCCCTCTCGATTGATCGTCGTGTACATGACGACCCCTCAAGACCCTGCGGCGAGGAAATTAACGATCGGTCTCCCGTCTCGTGATTTCCTTCCGTCTGAGAGGGTGGTGGCGCCAGTCACCCAAAATGGTTGCCTCACCTCCTCCAACTCCTCGGCCAACTCCACACGATGCATCTCCACTGCCTGCATGCTCGCAATCTCGCTGTGGCTAGGGAGCACAGCGCGCGGCGAACTGCAAGGCTGTTGAAGAAGCACCTGCTGATATGCCCTCCATGCCTCATTGCGAAAGGCATTGAAGGAAACCCCGCTGGAATAAAGCCAGCGAAGAAAGGCCTTCTTGTGGCGAGCAACCCACTCGCCACCATACACCTCATCCACCTTCTGCTATCTAAGCCTCTTTCCAGCTTGAGTGGTAGCCGGAACAGCTCCCCGTTCCTTCCTCTTGGAAGAACCCTCCCACGTTGGTTCCTTCACAGGAGGCTGTTGCCCCTTGCCCCCTCGCTGCTGCCAGTCCACGATCCTCTCCCCCGTCAATGGATCGAACTCGGGCTGATCCTCGTGTCCCAGGAATCCCTCCCGGGTCGTGCCACGTGCCTCGCGATCGTCGGTGATCACGTCCCCCTCGATGCCACCGCCTCTACCCCCCAATGGCTGGTTGGGCTCACCATGCCCAGTCTCTCCCCCCCCCCCAACCTCCCGCGGTCGCTGCGCCGCCTCTCCTCCCGTCGCTGCACCGGCCAGGGGCACATCAAGTCCACGCTCCACTGCAAACCTGGAAATCCTCTCCATCTGGTCGGCCTCAGACTTCAGTTGAGTCCATTTTTCGATCTCGTACAAGGCCTCATCAGTGACGGCCTTGCAGTAATTGGTCTGCATGAAGTGCCTGGTTGCCTGGAATAAAGCCCCCTGAAATACTTTGTTGCAAAATGTGCAATGCAACATCATCACCCCATTGTTGTCGACCTTCTGGCCGACGACAAGGTACCGATACACAGGGGACCTTACCCTGAACGTGTCCTGCACATCTTGAGAAGCGGGCTCATGCTCGCGCCGCTGTGCCCTCCCCATCGCGAGTGTCGCATTTGCCGCTGTGAACCTTCGACCCGAAGACCTGTCGACCTTTCGAAATGAACCCTAGAAACCACCCAACACAACCTTCCCCTTCCCCGGCCCATGCACCTGTCGTGCCCGCCCCAAACCCCCCCTGCTTCCACCGCAAGCCCCCCTGAACTCCCGCCCGACCCTGCCGCCCGACGCGAACAGGCCCCTGAACGGCCGCGTTAAATCGCGTTAAATCCCGTTAAATCGCGTTAAATCGCTCCATGCGCCGAGGTGCGGAACAGCCGTTATCGTCCCCGCCGCTACAATGGTCACTCCCGCCACGCTGCGATCTTCGTCTCCGCTCCTGCAACTGATCCCGCTGCTCATCTCTCTCTCTCTCTCTCTCTCTCTCTCTCTCTCTCTCTCTCTCTCTCTCTCTCTCTCTCTCTCT